TCATATAAAAAAAATATGTAGCCAGTAGAATTTTGTCTCGTGGAAAACAGATTTTATATCTGTTTTAATTTAATTATAATGTTTAATTTTTGATTGACCTAGAATTACATTATTTGTGGAACCTTTGCATGAATTTCCTAAACGAACGTACATTATGTATAGTGTTGTCGAAATCACTATTTTTGCTGCCATGAAATATTGAATATGAATCTGTCATTATTTGTAGTTTTTTAAAGACTCAATATCACAGACCCTGATTAAAAACAATGTGTATCATAAGTACAGTATAATGCTCTGCTAAACTGTAGAATTTTAATGTTCTGTTTCATAGACCACAGAAGTACTGCAACATCCGTATCTTTACTCTTTCCTATCGGGTAGAGAAACTCGAGTTTGAAATTAGAAAGATTTAAAATTGTAGACAAGTTTTATCTGATCTTTTGGGGGTTTATGTTTCGGTGCAGTGCTATGTGGGCTGTTATTTTCTTTTCATTTGTCATTTTTCCCTCTGTGTTACACGACCTTGTACTTTTTGTATTGCCCCTTGACATCTCCTGCTTCTGTTTAAACCTTTACCACTAATATCTCATCTGGTATAAATAAAATAGTGTCTCATTCCTGGAATTTGTTATACAGGAATTCATTTTAATATCAGTTTTTTTTATAAGCATATAAACTGCTTGGTCTCTTCACACAACTTATGTTTCGGACGGAATGCATCAATAGGTACATACATGTACCAGGTCACGGATATATAAGTACACGTTATGTGCTTTTGACCTCCACAAGAATTCTTAAACATTCATAGATTTGCAAAGAATATTTTTGTCGTTGGGCTGTTGTCTCATTGACATATACCTCACATTTCTGAATAGTCATAGCATCTGTGCCTTTTCAATTTATTGCAGAAAATATTTGCATAAACATTTTTCAAAACAGGCGAGGTGAAATAGTGATCACAGAATGAGGACATGTAAAACTGAAACAACACAACAGATAAATATAAACAAGCACCATTGCTAAAGGACTGAAACCAACATAGATGATGACTAATATGAGCGACTAGTGTACAAGTAGAGTGAACATTTCTTTGCTCCTTATTCTACACATTTTGTCATTTCATGTAAACAATTAAATATGTTATTTTCGGAGGAGAGGAAGGAATTTGTGAAACGAAATATTTTGCCTTTAGTACTGTCAAGTTATATATTCACAGGAGTGTTGTTGAATAAATGAACATTTTCTCTTTTTTTACATTATGCTACATTTATGCTACAAAGGTAGCATTTCCATTCTCATAATGTACAAAGATATTATAGAGTGGCCTTCCAATGATAGTCATACATGTAAATCATTGTCTCATTGGCAATCATACTACATCATCATATTGTTATACATGTATGTAAAATCTATGTTCATGTATACTTTGTAAACGTAAAGAAGACAAATGAAGTTGAACACAAGATATTTATTTGCATTTTTTTCCGTATAGACTCTGCACAACTGCCACTTCTGTTTCAAATTCAATAGATTGAATGCGGAGTCTTGTATTTGTTCTTAGTTCAATGATGTCACCATCACTTGCACAAAAATCGCATACACATGTACATCAAGTTTGGCATATGAACTATGATATTTGAACTACAATAATATGGTGTTTTCACAGTCAGCACATGTCATTTTCTCTCTTACAAAACCATTTTTAAGTATCACATTGATAGTAGTACATGTAATCTGTCCACTACATGACTGTGCAGTAACATTTGAAAAAAGTCATCACTAATAGTTGTTCCTGTCTGCCAGGGAATCTTTTTTTCAATCAGAAAGGCTAGGGAGTCCTACATTCAGCACATGTATGATATTACATCTCTTGTATGCTGCACTGTTAGGTAAATTTGATCAACATCTTTGTTCTTTTATATCATGCAGGTTCCTGTTAAAAAAAAAATGCTGTCAGATACTGAATGTAAATATATATAAACTTATAAATGTCATCAAAGTGGTGGAAATAATAAAAAAACAATTTATATACACAAAACCGGTATGTCTTGAGAAAGTAATTCCTGTGATGGTTACAATTGTTCTTTAAAGATGGACAATTTTATAAACTGTAGCCATGGACAGGTGTCTGGCTTTATATTGAAGAGAATGAACATGGCCGACAGCTTGAATGGTGATTTTTAATTGTAAATTGCATCAAAGTGGGTGAAAATATGGAAAAAACATCTGTTATACACAAATCCAGTATGTCATAAGAAAGTAATTCATGTGCTGGGAATAATTATTCTCTAAAGATGGAAAAGTTTATTGACTGTAGACATGGACAGGGGCCTGTCTTTATATTTTAAAAATTGAACGTGGCCGACAGCGAGAATACTGAATTTTTATTGTAATATTGCATCAAAGTGGGTGATTTAATGAAAAATTCAACATATTTACACAAAACCAGTATGTCTTGGGAAAAGTAAATATCTCAAAAATGGTTTTATTCCTTTTCGAATGAAAAGGTTTTAATAAAAAATACGTCCGTGTAAAAATTTTTCATAACGTCCATGTCGGCCAAGCTTTCCCCTTATCATTGACCACAATAAAACGTTAATCGTCACAATATTTTAACTAACAATTACTACAAACTGAATAAAACAAGGTAAATAATTTACGAAATTGAAATATATACTTACATTATGCTGTTTTGAAATGCTTGATGTAAAATAAAAATCGAAGCGGTGGTGAACTTGTCATGATCAGATGCAAAATGGCGATCTCATTAAAGTCTCGTGTAATGCGTGTTTTTAATTGGATTTCGCTGACCACTGTTACAGTTGCCAATCTCTGTGTATATATGTCTCTGTTATAACCAAATCCCCTTTCTTGTGAAAGTCGTCGATATATCATATAAACAGATAATGATCATTCAACTAGTTCACAAATCAAACAAACACTCTTGTAAAGCAAGGATTTGTATAGCAAATCCTTGTGTAAAGTAAGGAATGTATATCAATCGAAACTGTCGAAATGTTTTCAAAATATATACTTACGTTAATTCAGTCGGACACACAAGAAACTACCAAAAAACCGGACAAACGGCGCGAAATCATAGCGTTTATATTTTCGAAAGCTATCGGGAATTTTCATCATTCTAATCTTTACGGAAATCGATTTACAGCTGTAGTCTCAGTTTACAGTCATCAATATTTTATATTTGCATAACCATTAAAGAATAATTATTAGAATGTTATTTGGTTATTACTATTTTCATACAAATATTTTAACATTTATTATCTATGTTATAAATTACCAATTTATGAAAATGAAACGCATGTTAACAAAACCGTGTATCTACAGTCCCGTTGCCGATCATGTCTCTTTATATTTATTTATTCAATTTTTTTTTCGCTTTTTTTTTTTTTTTATTTCGATTCCTCTGCTAATCAAAGGGATGCTATCCTCATATTATTTTGATACACTGAAAAGAACTGGACAACGATTTTATCGATGAACTGAAGTATACTAAAATGTATTTGTCAGTACTAGATTTAACGCTAGGCGTTTTTTCTTAATTACCTGAACCAGCACTGACTGGTACTTAATCGATCACAGTAGTTAGTGTACTGAACATGTACTGAACAACTGAAAAAGATCTTGACATTTTTCCTTGCGGTAAATTCAGGCATTTAAGAGTTGTTCAGTTTAAAATGACCGTTTCAGTAGTAAAACCCGTTACTAGTGAAATATTCAAATTCATGCTGGCTAGATGTCAACACAAAGATTGTCCAGCACAGTGTCTAGAACACATTGTCAAGACAGTCATCACAAAATATCTCTTTCAACTGTATATTTCATTCGTATGGTGATGCCTTTCAACGTTGGCATTATCCAGAGTTGTACCACAGTGCGCTAAAAATCGATATATACGAGGAGATTGTATACATGTATCTGTGTAGATCTTATCATATATCGTTAAAAATGACAATGCAACAGATTTAAAAAAATAACATACAACATGTAGACATATCAACCAAAACAACCCCAGTACCAACAGTGACCTAGCATACATGTGTCTAGAAAAGGGATTCGACCCACCTACACACACACACACACACACACACACACACACACACACACACACACACACACAATATAGGCATTCACACACATATATAAATGTACATCAAAAGGAATATTGTAAACTATTAAACTTAATTAAAGACAATAAATGATATTGGATAATATCAAATGATGGACCGTTGTAATCGTCGTCAATTCAATAATCTATGTTAGAATACAGAAATGTTGTACATGGTTTCTTGCAAATAGATGCACTATCCACCAGAGTTCAATCTGAAATGCTCAGAATCAATGTTGCATAATTGAAATGAATGACATAGTTTATTCCTGTTCCAATGGGCGAATCAATGTTAGGGACTTTTTAATACATGTATGTACATGTACATCTATTTCTACTTTATAGTTCTACGTGGGATTGATGGTTATTTGCATTTATTAAAGGTTAATGATATTGAGTAATCGTCGAGATCAATAAAGCTTAAACAAACCTCATTTTTTTATTGGATATTTGTAGATGGGGATTGGCCGAAATGAGGCAAACATTAACGAGTTGTAAATGTATACCTCATGTTAATGCGGGTACTTGGCATTATATTTGCTGTTTTCAACACAATTTCCTAAAGTCACCGCAACGCCTCAAATGCTTTTTTTTTTAAACACAATGCACATTATCTCGAAGATACACACAACTTGTATAAAAGTTACTGAAGGGCTTTTCAATATTGTTGTGCTGTTTTCTTTGAATTATGTCACACTTTGTCATGTCGGGACCGTTTATAGCTGACAATAAACTATGGAATTTGATGATTGTTGAAGGCCGTAAGGCGACCTATATTTGACTAAATCAACGTCATTTTGACTCTGTTTTATAGCTGTTTAAATGACAATTATACATCATTTCCGTATTATATATGTGTCTTAACGATAAATACCTGAATAGATAAATTGAGTTGTCTTTCCTGAAATTAAAAACATTGTACTTTCATATAACTGAATATTACGTATTAACATTTGCAAAAAGAATACAATTTCTAAAAAAAACTGATATGTATATACAACTATTTGAGGCTTGAAATGTATAATATTTTCTCACAAACGTGTTATTCATCACCCGATTTTTGACCTGATTTATATAATTGGTTCCACTGGTAGAAACTGAATACTCTTTTGTGTCATTTGTGTTAACGCTTTGTTTATAATAGATTTCGTTTTGCTCAATATTTGTAGCTGATTGATAGTGTTTTTTTTTAATCTTTTCTTTGTCTTTTTTGCCTTACATTAAAGTCCTTTTTCGACATATTCTTCCGCCTTTAATATGTTTATATATTTTTATTACTCTAGTTACATTTTGTAAAATAATAACGAAAATCTACGTTAACGATAAGAGTTCCAGTTACAAATGTGCAATATGATAGGTTTCTCTTGCAAACAGCAATGGTTATATTTCATCATGAGACCTTCATAAAGTAGAAAAAATTATTTCATACAAAATATTCATACCTTTGGTGAATCAAGACTAACTTGGACTGACTTTGATTGCTTCTTTGTTCCTGAGATTGACGGCTTGAAAAATAAACAATATGTACAATTTTATTATTGCAATGTACTAGTACTAATGAACAGCATTCTTTCTGGTTATGATCAAGAATTAACAACGCTGCTCAGTGTGAGCTTTTTTTTTATTAATGCCAAATTTTATTTGGGGGCTTTCCTGTTTTGGACTATCTTAGTGATGTCGGAACGTTCTTGTAATTTCGAAAATTTTAATATACAAATACGTTTTATTGGGTTTCTTAATCGCGAATTCATAAATTTGCCTTAGCTAAATTAAATATTAAAATGTTAAGGTTAATATATTTGTTTGCAATTTTGGGAAACAATTGACTGTTTTCCGATGATTTTGATCGTGAATGGAAAACATGAAACATTTAATTTTTTTCCCCAAATTGCACCGATTGTTAATTAGATTTTTAGTTGATCTTATTTGTGCGAGTACCAGAATGTCTTGCCACAAACGTCTTGTAGGTAACCTGTAGAAAAAATATATACTCCGGAGTCAAAACACGGTAACATGAAAAAGGTCTAATTGCAAATTAGAATGCACTGGTTCTCGGAAGTTTGTAATGCAAAAACATGATCTACTGATCTGAGCAACAAGGCAAACATGCCCTACTATTTTGATTTCATATAGTTTTTTTTATCATGGAATAGAAACTTTCAACAAGGGTTTTACTGTGTTTCCAAATCCTTAAGCTTTCATATGATACCAACACTAGCCAAGCAGTTTATTCTTTGACAAAGTTACTGCTATGGGTAGGAACTATTATTTTGTGTGTTCCTTCTGACCAGACCAAAACTACTGGCTCTATACCTTCTTATATAATGTATTATGGTAAAAATACGTAACACCGAAAATTAACTATGAATACGTAGATAAATGGATACGTATATAAATTTAAATATTGTTTAAGAATTGGACATGCTATCAATACCAACAAAAATAATTTTATTGATAATGACAATAATTTTTAATTACTTAGTTACATGTAAAGAATGCTTTTTGATACGTAGCATATTCTATCTATAAATATTTCTCAGATGATGTATTGTTCTGCCTTCTTCTGATACAAATATGTTAAATGGTTTTTAACTAAATGATCTTATTATACTAACTTACAGATACTTACATATACCTCTGCATTGTAAACTTTCCTAGGATCAAATCCTCCTGCATGATTAGGAAAGTATTTGGAAAACACCAAAGACTTGGAATTCTGTAACGAAATACAATGTGTTAACGCCATCACACTATTCAGTGCAATTGGTTTTCAACTTGTTATTTGTTAACCAACCGATATCAATTAGAAAAGGAAACTACACATGCAGGTATTAAGCAATATCAATTCCTGGTACGAAATTAATTATATTTTGTCTTTTTTTTACGTTATTCCGGTAGCAATCTAAACAACTGCGAGACAGATTGAATTCGATGAGGATTGAGCGTAACTATGTATATAAGCCCGCCTCCGGGTGCAGGATTTTCTCGCTGTGTTGAAGACCCATTGGTGGCCTGCGGTTGTTTTCAGCTCCTTGGTTGGGTTGTTATCTCTTTGACACATTCCCCATTTCCATTCTCAATTTTATTATTTACCTATACCACAGACCTTCGTATGGAATATTTGAATTTGAATTTTCCTTGAGAAACATACGGGATTTAACTCTATTAAAGCAGGATTTGCATTCCCTTACAGAAGAAATTAGATCACACCTAGTTTGTTCGTTGATTTATTTGATTGGAGAGAAATGGGGGGTGGGGGGGGGGGGGGGGGTGGGGGGGGGTGGGGGGGGGGGGGGGGGGTGGGGGGGGGGAGTGGTATTTTGTCTTCAGTTGTTTTTTGTTGTGTTTTTTTTTCCGGGGCGTTGACAGTTTTTATCGGACTTCTCAGTTTTGAATGCTCTTTGGTATCTTCCACCTTATTTTCTTCCCTATAATTAGATTTTTCTATTTTCGTTTGTACTCTTCTCATCTACATATATAAACACGGCAGAACTCGAAGAACAATTGAAAATAGGATACCATCAGAAGATGCTCAAACAAAGGTACAGTGGCGCAATAACAAACACATGATTAGCATCTGCTGTGTATAAGTATGATGATATCCAAAAAGGCAAGAATGACCCTGGATATAACTTAGTGTATAAACAATATTTTATTGGGAAAATATTAACATAAACATTACAGCATGAGAATTTTATTAGAGTTGGAATAGAAGTGAAATGAAAAAAGTACGAAATCGTCAGGAAAACATTTAGTTTCAAATTTCAGAAGATAACGACAAATTAACAGTCATTACTATACCGCGTTTGTCATTGATATTTGAAATCATAAGGTTATATAATATCAAAGCATTTCGAGACAATTAAAGTATACAAAACATTGACGGGGATTCCGGGAATAGTGGTAAGCGAATATGACCTGCATTATCATGTAGGTGTACAGCGTTCACCAGAATTTATTTTTTGTAACAGCACATGTATTTACTATTGACACATGTATTCTATAGCAGCCAAAATTTACATAATATGTATAAACGTGAATCACAAAAAGATGATTTTTTTAGAAATATCAACTTACCCCAATTGATGTCATGTTCATTAAGTTTTCATATTTCGAAACCAAATCTATATAAAATTAAAAAAAGGGGTTAACAATTTTATATATATATTTTTTATCTTGTAAACCCGTAGGTGAAAAATGTATAGCGTGATACCACATTGCTCAATAATTATTTTTGAAGGACTTTAAAGGAAAAAAGCGGAATAAATACCGCAAATCGTCTAATAATTTTTGCTATTGTATATAAATAGTTCCAACCTTTACAATTTCGAACTTTAATTCGAATCCAACTTTTTCAGTGGCAAATTTCAAATGTGATTTGTGCACGAAGCATGTATAATGGTTGAATAATTGAAAAGCTTCAACTTTATCAGTTCGTGCGGCAAGCTTGTTAGTAAACCACGTGCACTGTAAAGACAATCAACTATAATTGTATATCAATAAATGGTGTACCCCTTTGATATCTTCTCTCAATTTATTTGTAACTGCTTTTTAATAATATGTCACAATAAACGTCACATTAACCTTGTATGAATAGCCTAAATAATTGAACTGGAGTCTCATCCTATTTAAAGGTACAATATTAGGTGAAAAGTGTTATAACTACACCAAATTCTCTTATTATTTCATATACAATCACATTTTTTACAAACATTGTCAAAAACTTATTAAAAGTACAATTTTGAATAAAGTTGTAATGTTAAACTCACGAAGGGTATTTTTTCCTATTGTTCCCTATACAGGCATTTTATTTTTTCGTGCTCACATTCCTATCTGTTTTTATAGTAATATGAAACATGAAATTAAAAATAAAAAAGTTAATGTTTTATATACTTTTTTCTTTACTATAAATCAAGTGTTCTTGGACTGTCTTACAAAGGAAATCCTGTATATTATCGGAATCTTCATAAATGTACTCCGATTGAATTATTGTCTCTCCGTACAGTAATTCGCCGATATTTTCCCGTAAGCAGTAACTCTAACAACGCATCCTCTTGGCAACCGCACAGCGCAAGTACGAGACGAAACCCATGATGGAAGAATCTAAAAAAACGTGTGATGGATTGTAAATAGTAACACCTGACTCATAAAGGAAAATTAATTCAACAGACCATTTTTATAACTGTTAAGGGAACTTTAAATTGACAAATGAGAACACTTTGAAAATATAAAACTTTTTTATCTTGGCGCTATCTATTCAATTATTTTTCACGCGATCTACTCGCTCTGTGTTGATTGTTTATCAATGTCACGATCTGTAAAAATTCGGCATTAAACTCGATAGTTAATTAGCTTGCTATCAAAAATCGCTGAATAAAATAACCTCTGTCTACATAATACGTTAAAGGTTCTGTATATACACAACAAACGTGCATACAGACTTAGTTAAGGAAATAAGCATGCATTGGTTCAATAATTTCGATATTTCTTAAGATTTCTGTAAAATATATGTTCTGATGTTTTCTCTCTCATAATATAAATCACGGTTTCATTGTGGTTAATATCTCAGAGAAAAAAAAACGATATCATGATATTTGGGAAATATAAATAAATGGGATTTTCACGTAATTCAATATATTGATGGGGGATACTTTCAAACCCCAGTTGGACGACTATTCCAAAATTTGTAGTTTGAGACCCCTTTCCCCGGGCATGAGTATAACTTAGAGTGGGTGGCGCATGTTCGCCTTGGACACATTTTCGCCGTTTTGCTATTTTCTCTGTAAAATTTGTGTGCCTTTACCCAATACTTGCCTAAATAGATGGTAAAGGCTGTTTGCAATGTTACAACTGTTAATATTACTCTTTACCCCCATTTCCAAGGTTATTCGCACATGTTGAGAAATACGCAGGTGTTTGTAAATGATTTTGGCAATTATGTAAGATTTATATGGCAATCATGTGCAGTCTTAAAGTAACTATTTGTGAGAAAAATCGTATAGGAATGATCTCTCAAGCTAATTCATGTAACTGCAAACATTCGTTTTTATAATATACCAGGATAATGAGGATGGTCATATCATACATTGCGGCGAAAATGTGTCCCCCATGGTACACGAACAACTTGATTTCCTCTTGAGTTTGCGTTCGTTTTAAGAACAATTAACCAATGTTTTGAAGATAATTTCTTTATCAAACATTTTTTTCATTTAGTTAAATTTCTGAAACCTTCATAAAAAGTTCCAAATATTCGAATGTAGGTCGGATGTAAGTGGAAATGAACGAATTATGCGACGAATATGGGTCTCTCACTCTAACTGTTTAAGAGTAAAACACAATAACTCAAAAATGATTCAAAAAATATTTTTCTTAAATATTTAACTTTATCGGCCATATACTTTACTTATAAGCTTTATTACAAGTATATAACAAAATACTTAATGCCCATAATGACTAGGCATTTTCAAAAGAAAATTTAGATATTTCGAACTTCCCTACAGTATATATAAACAATATTCTATATACCAATAGTTAATCAATAAATTTTGTTTAGCAATTTGTAAATTAAGATCTTGTGCTGACAAATAAATATAAAATTTAATGAACAGAAATAATAAAAAAAAAGATGCATAAACAAACTACTTAATTCTGTCTGAGTATATTTTTTTCTTGTATAACCGATACACGTGAATGCATCAAACATTAAAGATTATATAGTAAACAAGTAACATAAACGATAAAATATGCATAGGTAGAATAAGAAACCAGTGTAGATATTTAAATACATATTATTTAAAATATCAATGACCAAATATGTCACTTAAATCATAGCAGTACATAATGTACTAGCGACTTTAGTGGACAAAATCAAGGCCAGTAACTGACAATGATGCTAAAATGGAAACACAGTTTGAGTGATTTAAGTGGTTGTTTGCATCAGTGATACCCAGTGAATTCGAGTGCAATGATACTTGATGGTCTAGATGGGGGTTCTGTATTCTTAAATGTTTTAACCTAAGGACATTTTTTATTATCATAATTACACTTATTCTGTAAAATCTCCTAAAAATAATTGTATTACTATGTATTTCATTCTAATGTTATTTGGTGATTTATTTATTATATTATAATGTACATGACTCATTTCTACTATCTGTGCTGTCTTTCTAATTCTTTTTTTCACAGGTATACTTTATACTTTTCCCTCTTGTGTATATTTTTATGTTGTTTGCTCTTTTTGTCTATTCATTATTCAGTTTGCCAGTATCCCCTGTTCTGTTAACCCCATCCGAATCCTCACAAGATGGTATACTAGAGGTCTTCATATGTTGACCATTTCCTTGATATTTTCACAGACTGCAAGTGCACGCCTTCAGTCAACGACTTGATAAGATGATCGTTACAAAATCCTACGCTAATCAAACTGTAGTGAAACAAATGGTACTAAGAGTGTTAAAAATAGGGAACGTCAATAAATTACATTCCACATTTCAACAATGACTTAATGTTTCGTCCAGGAAAGTACGGGCAGAAAGTATATTTCATCTATGCATTCACTTATTACTTTCCCACAAGAGTATGCTGTTCCCTTTCTAAACAATATTTTGAAGCATAACACAGTGTCTTTATTTATCGCAAAAGTCATCAAGCATATTTTCGATTTTTTTTTTATAAAGGCTCTCTTTAAAATAATTAAAAGAGTTTCATTAGTATAATCATGCATGATAACAATGTTTAGAAATAAGAGTTATGAATCTTAAAAGCATTCTCAAACCATTTTAAAAATTGTCCTTACAAAAATACTCAACGACATTTTGGAATGCTTGAACTCTGCAAGTTGTATAAATTATGTAATCGCTTCTGATGCAATACTTTTAACAGTTGTACTGTATGTGTTCGTGTTCTATGCTATTTTCAGAAGGAAGGCATCACCATAAAAACATTCAAATATGTATTTACTGAGGTAACTTTCACAGCAACAAGTAATCTTTCAAAGGAAAATTGTTGTTCTATCTGCTTACAATATGTTCAAACCTGCAATGTCACATAATGTTCTAGTTTTGGTAATTAATGTACTCCTATGTAATATATGTTTGTGTTACAGGTATCTGTTTATTGTTTTGTAGTGATATTTCTAGAAAGGAACATTAGAAATATTTATCACAGATATTGTTCAAGTTTTTGATTTTTGTCATATATTTAAGATCTTACCTTTAAAATTCAACGTCTATTAAAGGAGTGACAAATCAATATTATGGTTAACGTTAAAAATATCTTTACAGCAGATTCCATTGAGTGTGTAGTGAAAGGTAATATCTTTGGTTAGCTTGCTTGTTAGCTGAACCGTGAAGTCATTATTGGGTCAGGTATACTACCCTCCTTTCAAAGTAGCATAGTCCAACAGACAGATCGATTGGTTTTCTGTCGGACTAGTCTATTCTTAAAGTAGGGTAGTTTACCTAACCTAACAATGACTTCACGGTTCAGCTGACAAGCAAGCTAACCAAAGATATTACCTTTGGCTACACACTCAATGGAATCTGCTGTAAAAAGTTTTTTTAAATATCGACCTCTTTTGAAAGAATATGGTTTTCCAAAACCGCAATAGATAAAAGATATTATTTAGATATTCACATATTTTGAAAATCAATATAACAGGCAGGTCTTTTGACATAGAATGATCAACTATAAAGGTTACATGAATGTCATTTATTATAATTAAATCGAAGGCAATGTTAATCAAACACAGTTTGTATCAGTATATTATTGATGACTTTCAGCATGATTGAACATATTGGAATATTTATAGTGATACGAAAGGAATAATACATATAACATCTGAAGATTATCAACATAATGTAATGTGATATAATCTTTGGTACAAAACTATCTTTATTTTATTTATATTTGTTTTTTCATTTGTTTACAGTTAGTGGAAGGGAGTGGCTTATATTTCATTTTACTTTTCTCATTGCAATATTGGTACCTTTTTACAGAGATTGCAGAAGGATAGCAAGCATCTTGTTTGTTTTAAGAAGCAAATAATAGATCAACATTTTGATATATTTCAAATCGGTTTGCCTCACAATACATTGTATCCATTACAATAAAGATCTGCATGGCTATATGTTCTGTATCACTGTCAACACATTTCTTCTTGAAACATTGTAGTATATCTTGTCTGACAAAACAGCATGAATACATTTTCACGGTCAATATTACATTTATGATTCTCTTCAATTCACTTCAGCCAGCTGAATGTTGTGATTGTAAGTACACAAATAAGAAGATGTGATATGTTTACCAAGGACACAGATATATTAGATTTTTTTTACATTTATCTAACAGTGGGTAAAATAGAACAGCCACACACACGGCACACACCCTCGCTTCAGTTTTTTAATGACCGTATTTGTCCTTTTAGAATCGAAATAATTCATGGAAGCCATAGATTTGTTGTAAAGGAGTAGGCCCAGTAAGACCCCTTTTTGGCCCCGAAATATAGCAGTTTTACAAAATTGTTAAAATGTAAATTTTTAGCTATTTATTGGAAAGAAGAATACTTCTGTTACATAAATATGGGCTGTTTTTGACAATACAATGCACATGTATCGGGTACTAGCATCATTAAGTCATGCTAAATTACTGAAATCTTCGAAATTTTAGCATTTTGGTTAATTTTTAGACGGTTTCCGTCTGAAATGGAAGTGGCCGCATTTGTGTTCATTCTTAATATTTAAATGTAAGTTGTATTTGATGAAAATACATAACATATATAAAGGTTGAGAATGAACACGGATGCGGCCACTTTCATTTTTGACAAAAACCATCTGAAAAGTGACATTTTATGGCATATTTGATAGATTTTTCATATTTAAGCTTGAATTTGAGAGTCTTTATTGACTAAATCAGTTCAAATCTTTTACATAAACTAATTGAATCGACTAAAGTAGACACTTAAGTGTTTAAAAAGTGTCCAAAATCTTTCATCAGATGAACCTGAATTTTGAGGCCAAAATCGGCCCTTACCGGACCTACTCCTTTACACATGGCCTGGGCCGTGTGTAAATTTCCAACAAATCTTTGGCTTCCATGAATGATTTCTTAATTAAATGGTATTTAGAATGCTAAATATAGGGAACTTTAATAGATTACATTCCACATGTTGGGGTTTGTAGCTTTTCAACAATGATTCGGTGGTTCGTCCTTTAAATGAAATAATCATATTTTTAAAGGGTCCACAAAATGAATGGTATTACGATTTGAACTAAACCATTTTGAAAGATATTTTTTCACATTGTGCAATGGGCAGCAAGCATATACCATTTAACTATTCAATTAATATTTTCCATCAAAAATATACTGTTGACATGCTGTAACAATTTTTAGAAGCATAATATAAAGTCTATATGTATAGAGAAAGTCAAAAAGCATAGTCATTACTATTTACAGAGGAGTTCTGCGTAATAATGAAACAAGACTATGAGATACAAATGATGCATAATAGTATGATCATTTCGCCTCTCAACCAACCTTGCTGACATTGCAAAAAAAAGAAAAGAATATAGGATCAAATGCATGTTTTGTCTTTTCTTGAAAGAAAACAAATCTGTTGTGGGAGAAAAAAAAATATTATGTTAATATCGACGTACTGTCTGTTTACATAAAAAACTGTCAGAAAACTCATTTAAAGTGATATGACACTTTTTAAGACTTAAAATGGTAGGACAACTTACAATCCTCGTCAATTAGGATTAGAATCCTTCGAGTGCACCTGCCACGTGTGGGATCCCTACTTACAACCTCAGTGACTGGTGATACAGTAGTTCAATTACTGAAACATCTATGCCACAAGACAAGATCTCCAAATGAGTTAACATTTTGCTGAATTTGTCAGTTTATTCCTTATAGGAGTTATTAGCTTGGATGATGATGGTTACACTAGTTAGAGAGAAACTATAAGCAGCCAAAAGATTGACGTGCACGATGTTTTGTCGATATTGTCAATATCGCAATGTATTCTTCATCGTGTCATTATTGTGTTTATATTGTATCCTATAGGCCGAGCCTTTATCCAATCCCTTTATTTGAATATTTAAACAATAAAATATTTGAATCCTATCGATATATATGTTGCAATATATAAGATTTTGTACAATGTAAACGATGTTGACACGATATCATGTTAACATTGTAAATATCGCGATGTCGACAATATTATTTTAACATTGTGCACTGGACATGGATGAAAAGATCAGCAAGACATGATAAAAAAAAAGTCACCAAAGCCTTAATTGTAAGTTCACTTCTTTAAATATCGTTGCTCTTGAATAACGATGTTTCCTCAATATATTTGTATTCTGGACAAAAACAATAATAAAACATAAAAAATAATTAACAGCAGGAAGAGGACTCGCTTAACACGGTCAAGAAAATTATCTCTTAGTAATCAATACTATTCTAGTTCTTAATGTTGAGGAGTGGTCATTGTTGAAATGCACAAAGATCTAGTGGAGCAACACTTGTTGCCTTTTTTAAAACGAGAAAGCAACATGCTAATTTAATTAGAATTTGAAAATTGTAACCGTTAGATATTATCAACAAATACTATTTCACACTCAAATATTTACAATCTTACCTTTACAGTTCAAAGTCAGAATCGGTCTGTCATGTCAATTAAAGGAGTGACCAACTTTATTCATTCATTTCTATAGTTAACTCTAATAATACCTGTAAAAAGAATACAGGTTTTACAGAAAATAGATTTCATTCGGAATTTTTGGTTTTCTTAAATCGCAATAGACATAAGATGATTTTTAAATATTCAGATTTTTTGAAAATCAATATTAAATGCAGGTACTTTTACAAAGGATGATTGAATCATCAATATTACATGGATGTTCTTTCATATAAGAAAATCGAAGACAATGTTAGTCAAGCAAATTGTGTATCAGTATATCTTCGAGCATGACTAACATGACTGGACATGAAGTAGAATAATCAAAATTGATCTGGAAGGAATAATACATATATGTATACCATCCAAAAAGTCTCAACATATCATGATTCATAAAAAAAAGTAGGAGGATGATTAGATTTTCATTTTACTTTAGTTAATGTAATATAGGTATTTTTTCACAGATTGCAGTAGAAAAGCATGCATCTTATTTCCTAACTTAAAGGTAGTATACAATAGTTATAATGTTTTAATAGTTTCAATTTAAAAGTAGGTTTGCCTCACAATAAATTGTGTCACCATACGGCCTTCAACAGTGAACAAATCCCATACAGCATAGTAAGCCATAAAAGGGCCCGAAATGAGAAATGTAAAACAATCAAAAAGGAAAATCTAACTGCATGATGTATGTAAAAAATACTAAACGAAAACCAAATATGAAGCAAAGCAACAACACCAACCACTGAATTACAGGCTCCTTACTTGAGACAAGCACAAACATAATGTATTGGAATTAAACATGTTTACTGGCTCAAAACAACCCTCTAACCAAATTTTAAACAGAAGTTATATATTCCTATAATTTTTTTTTATAACTGTTATCCCCTAACCATTTACGAGTTGCAAGGTATCTATATATCATACACAGTACAGCGTTATTCGTGTACTAGCTTCTTGATATCCGTTAAATTATCTTCATATTTAAGTAGTATTCATGAGTTCTTGAAATAGGTTTACAATTTTGCGGTCATTCAAGTTAGTTTCAGATGTGGTTAAGCTGTGTCATACTAATTAGCCACGCCCCCGTTAAACCAAATCAAACTGATGTTAAATCATTTTAATCTTTAAAGTGACCGCCTTTTTGTAAGGTAAATCACTCAAGCAGAACAGCATCCCCGTTATCTATCGTTAATCCGTTACAAACGTTATCGATTTTAGTCAGATAAGTACCTCCAACAAATATTCACAATTAAGAGAAATTGATTACAAATACATTTGTAAACTATTAAGTAATTTATAGTTAATGATGCCAGATTTACAAAATGCAGCGAAAAAATATCAGTTAAAAATACAAATTAAAAAAATTAATTTGTACACATGAAGAAACTGTATAGATAAGAAAGATGGTTGATAAGTGATATGAAAACTAGCGTCATTTAAGTAATTTTGCAAAAAATAAAACGAGAATGCTGGTTTAATCTAATTTTTATTTAATAATCAATAAAGGGACCAATGCTCAAGGAACAGAAAGTGTTCATTGTTTACATCATTCCAATCGATATATCTTATCTTTTAGGTTGAAAATATTTTTTTCAATTACCGCCTAATAAAACAGTATCTATCTAAAACACAAATGTTTTTATTAAATGGATGATTGGTATTT